CCAGTAAGCGCTTAAACGTATTGTTATTATCGCTTTATGCTCTCTGTATAAAGTGGGATGATGTTAATACTATTTTAGGAAAATAACCCATAAAAAGGGAGAGGATTTAGAAAAATTGCCCCCACAGGCTGCGGTGGATGGAGCCGACGCCATTTGCATTTTGATACGTCAATTAAGGAACTCAGCGCCCGCTCGTTTGGGGTCGACACAAACGCAGACAAACTCTAATTTCTTATCTTCCACTTTACTGTCCTTTGGCTAGTTTTTATCTCAATATATGTTCAATACAAATGCTCCACTCTTGCTCAAAGAATAGGCAAACTTTTAAGAACTATATTTAATGAGATCAGGACTTCATGGCTCATTTGCTGCATATGATTATCTTTTGACGTTGATGTCGCAGATAGCTCGTTCGATTTCCGCACGGGACAAGTACCTATATACTTACACGACTTACAGATAATTCTTGATATTGGAGTTTGCCTACGTAAACTTGTCTATGTAGAACGTTGTGGTAGCAGAGGATAACATTAGTAAATGCTATGACTGGTAAAAATAACGACACGACTGAACAATGATGATCGAATCTATGGCTACATGTCTGCCAACATTATGTAATTATGGTTCTACGGCTATATATCTGCCAACATTATGTAATTATGGTTTCGGGTTTCGTCTGGTCAGTGTTATAATAAGCTGGTAATAAGGGCCCACTTTTTTAAGGCTACAACGTATTCGGGCTGATCGCTTGCCATCAGGTGAAGAGCCATCTAGCTAGCAAATGACTCACGTAAAAAACTCATAGTTTAAATTTTAGATGTTCCATTGATGATACATGTTTCAAACATATTTATATTTTAAGTTATCGTGCACCTTTGTAGGTAGAACATTTATCGTAATTGGTGATTAGGTACCGTTTGAATGAGTCGGGTTTGTTGCATGCATAATTTGATCGAAGGGATCCAATAGGCAGATGCTTTGCCACATTTCCTCAAATGGATGACGACGAACTTCGACGTGAGCTACGTGATCTATACGGTCTGGTATCCGGCAAGTTGAATCGAGAGATGATTCAATATAGTACTTACACACAATGAACTAGATAAGAGCTAAGTAACATTTTCATCAAAGCCAAGTGCATTCAATGTTCATATGTTTTTGACCGAGTACGACAAAATTTTTGTATATGGGCAAACGATATACAACATACCTTTTAATGACTTTTATTAAAAGCATCGTCATTATTTATTTACTTTACCGCTATGTGCTTGCCAGTCAATAAACCAAACACTAAAGCTGCCTACGTGCTTGGATATCATATAACAGAATGACATAAATATAATTTACACGTATGTAAATAAATATTATTCACTATATTTCACACGTGAATAAATCAAATTCTTTGTACAAGAAGTAATAAGGAATGCAGCGACAACAGATTTTGCTATTGTGATGGCTTACGGCTGTTTCAGGTTTTACGATCGGCCGTAGAGCGACAATGTCATACATGCGGACAGAATAAAACATATCTGCACTTAGCAACAGATGTGGTGAACAGGGCATGAGGCAAGATTGCAGGAACAACGATGGGACTCAAGCGAAAATAGAGCTTATCACAAACGTGGTAGTTTACATATTGCTGGTAGCACTGCGCAGTTAGCAGTACAAACCTGCGTGCCGGGCTGTAAGTAATTAGGGGTTTTACGATCGAGCCGTATCGTAAATGTCCACGGATCCTTTGCGATGTGAAGTTTTATTAAACAGCTGTAAATGTACCAAATGATATTCGGGCCCATTGTTCGGTGTATTGTGATCGAGCGATCGCTTAGTTTCGCGATAGTTTTTGTGGCCACCTTTTGGTGGGTTTTGCACGCATCGAACGACACCAGTGTGAGATCCTTTGTACGATGCAAGGGGTAGTATCGTACTGGGATTCGCAGTGGTGATATACAGACACCATTTCAGGTATTTCCGTATTCTTCTTATTATATAAACCATGTCTGCTTCACCTTAGACGTGGTTGCTATGGTAAACGCAACAGTAACGAGCAAAACAATAATGCATCAGTTTTGATTTCAAATCACACAACTTGTCTCTACCGTTTTGCGACTTGGACGGGTAAATGAGAAATGTTTTTGGTCCGATTAGAATCATTTATATAGATACAAATATTCAAATCTTCCAGTAAACTTGGATCATTACGTTTCCCCAAAAATCTTAGTCCAAAACATTCACACAAGTATTGCATAATCCTCTATATGTATATGGGTATCAGTTGATTTTTCAGAATTCCACCAGCACTTGTCAGAAGGTTTCATTTGACCTTAATCAATCAAGTTGTCCAGAAGTAACATTTGTTTAGAAAAAAAAATCATATCATCGCTTTAAAGTTGGATCGTTAGGAGCACTCTTCATAATTCAGTGGGAGTATTTCGATGGGACGCAAACAGTATCCCCGCGTTACGCGTTAGATGGGTCTTAAAGATCCTCCGACTTACGGGCCCCAGCCTCCACAGATCTTATCTCGACTGCTGACGTCCCTAGGAGACGACCAATAAAAACTTTCCACTTTTTTAAGCTGAAAGATAAAACTTAATTGCCTATTGGGTAAAAAATTGTTTTGGTTTATATAAGAAATTAAATAGCTAAAATTAATAATTAGTTAGTCCCAGATTTATTTCCTCAAAATATTTTTTATCATATATTAAAATAAATGATAGCCCGTGTGAGGTTGCCTGGTAAACAATATATAAGTCACATAACAATAAGGTAATGTAGACAATAATAATGTACATAGATATAGATAAATATCTGAAAAAGTTTTCTCATCGAATATGTAGCACTGTTTGCTATAAAATTTTCAAAACATAGACTACATAATAAAGGGTGACAAATTTTCAGTTCTCACAGATTATTATTAGAAAGAAGGTCATTGATTGAATCTTTCACCCATTTAAGTTCAATGACATACCTACCTACCTATGTATAATTTGTAAATCCATGTATAATTAAAAAAAAAACAACAGGCAGCAAGAATCATTTCCCGATACGGCGTCAAAACCATGAGAACGTGTCAGAAAAATCGCTAATGTTTATTATCACTCTGTGGTTTCTATTTAAACTAGTCGTCCCGACGGACTCGGTCAAAATAAACAACTTTTGCTGTTTACTTCACAGAGTAATCACGATGTAGAAAGGAACTAATAAACCCCTTTTGAAGAGCCACAAAAGTATGATGGAAATTTTCCCCTCCCGCCTCGCCGTTTGCCTTTCGAGGGAGCAGCGGGCCCTCGCTGGTAATTACTATACACACGGTTAAAAATAAAATTCAGATTCGGTCTCTTTTTTTTTAATTCTTCAATTTATTTAAAGCAAATAAGGCTAAGGATATTACAATCTTTTTGCTATTTCTATCGATTTCGAGTGTATTTTTGTGTTTAGTGTGTCTTTGGAGGGACAATTATATTAACAACAATCTAATAAACGTAGCCCAAGTCTTATGGTGCCAAGGCCTCACTGATAAGTACTCCGTACTGTACCGTACTAAGATTTTGGGCGGCAAGAGAACGGGCCCGTCCTCCTCAGATGCAATTTCAAGTCGAGAACATAATTGTTTCCATTTTTTTTGATGCGGTAACCTCACTGACCTAAGGTTTCTATAGGAAACGGTGCAAATACTTAATCTCCATAATAAGACTCAAATTTTCACCATTTAATTTAATGTCATTTGTTATGGTTTCAAGAAATAATCGAAATGGCAGTATCACTATGGCTACAAAGCTCTGAGATGCATTTCGACCAAACATTCCTATAGTCGGATTTTCTAAGATTGGCATGACGTGTCTTGCTCACTGTAAGCGGGAAGACTCGTCTCCAAATGAAATAAAAAAGAAAAGTAACAGCCTATAAATGCCCCACTGCTGGGCAAAGGCTGTATAGAGGGTTCATTTTATTATTGCTTTCTTAAGACCTGGTCTAGCAAATTTCAGTCGTCTACACTCGGAGCTATTCACGATAAATATATTTATTATCCATAAAGAGTGTCCAATTGTATTAATAATACATGAATACAATAATTATTTTGGTATTGATATAATTTCTGATAAAATTTAAAACAGGTTTTTGTTTCATCTCGTGTTTCAATAATGTTGTATGCATGCTACATCATATTATTAAAACTGTCAATAGCGACATTTTAATGTACGTTTTTTCCTAATAATACGTGAATGTGCTACTTTGCGTCAACGAGATTAAAACTGTCAAGTTTTAACTAAACAATTTAAACTCGCTGTCTACCAGTTAAGACGCCTAATGCCGTGTGATGAGATTGTGCTAGATTAAGTTTTCTGTCTTCGTAATTCCTTTACTAATATGCAATATTATGTCTAGTGAGCTCAATAAGATGTGCTACTTTGAAACGTGTATATAGGCATCGTATGTTTTAATAACATATTATATACCATTTTGATGGAGGAACTGGTACAAAGCTTTATACAACACACTACTTAGCTCTCGCTGACGATACGGCATGTAAACTTTTAGGCTTAAGTATTATATTCAATTAAGACAGAAAAGGGCAATTAGTACAAAATAAGACTTAATTCAGGCATTTATTAATCTTCTTAGACTATTTACCTTAATTTATGTCACACTCTATGAATGGTAAAGGGGTTGGTTTTTATTACAAAATGAGAACAATATGTATAGTATAATAAAGCTATTCAGATTGAAATCTTCAAAAGTTGAGCTCTAATCATATGTTATTCATTAAATCATTCAACTTGTTTCTAATAAAATAAGATTTTACGACAAAGTACCATACATATAATTTCAGCCTACAGGTTATTCCTAATTTCATTTACATGCGATCAGACCTCGCGAAAGCGAATAAAGGGACTTGCGGACAAAATTTTGGCTTAAACTTACTGCAGTCGAATCTTAGAATGAACTCGCAAGCAATGAATAATTGACGCCCCAAACGGTCTCGTTGATTGAAATCACTCGTACAGCATTCGGCCGACAAGTGCTGTCGAGCAGGTCTCCGTCACGCCACGAAGAATACCGTCCCCCGAAGCCGCAGTCAGCCGCTCAACGCGTGATAACGACTCCATGTGTTGACGTCCCTCTGACCTCCCTCGAGGAGCCACTTGACGCCCGTGCACCCCAATGTCCTCCTTATTTGAAAAGCAGTAGCGGCCACATTCCCCCATCCAGCGCTTCTATTTATAGGACAACAAGTGTACTGCTTATTGAGTGCAATCATTAATTAAGCGAAATAGTGTTTCGTTATTAATGGCGCCATTTGAACGACTTTGAATCTAATCGTTCAGCTTTTACCGCCGTTATTCGAACGACCGGTGGCCAATCAAGAGGATTATTAATAGATGCTGCCGATCATACATGGAGTATAATGCTCCGTTGTGGCTGCACTTGTGCGCTGAAATCATTTTAATGCCACATTAATGATCGGGCTATTTAAATGAGATAACAGGCGTGCTATTATCTTGACAACATACTTATTGCGGGTATTTTATTATTTTTTTCTAAATAAAATTGCGCAGTATTTATTAATTTTATTTCTAATGTTATAAATGAGATAATATAACTAGCTCTGTTTAGAGAAACCAGTAGAAATGTTTATAATTCTTCTAAATCGCAAATAATGGATCTAGGTATTTTAAAAAGATAAGAAATCCTAAAGAAGCACTGCAGACCAAATGTAGAATGTATATAGGTATGTAGTATAAAAAAGAAGTAGTAATCTCGTCCATTTGCATACAAAGTGATATCTATTAATAGTGACCGATAAATGCACATAATGACACTTAAGATTAACCACTGGAGAGTAGACAAAGCTCTCGAGATGCTCTCAAGATACTCGGACACGCTGCACGTGGTGAGCAGTCGCGGAGATACGGACACTTTCAAGTGTCTCGATCACTTTGCAACGTCCTCTACAATTCACGTGTAATTTATTAGCTTCATAAATAACCATTGTATACAATAGATAGCCATTTATAGTAGTCCGGGGCAGGACTGAGAGAAAATCTAGAACGGCTCCACGAAAGTTCGGCGTGCAGAAGGAGCATTTCTTTTATTTTTATGTGATAAGGTGGCAAGCGAGCTGGCGGTTCACCTGATGTTAAACGATAACCGTCGTCCATGGACACTTGCAACACCTTATAATAAAGTGGGTCCCGGCCACCTCACTCACCAGACGAAACTATAACACAAAGTATAACACTTCCACTTCACGCCGGTCGTCTGTGAGGTCGTGGTACTTACCCGGACGGACCTGCCCATTCGTGCAACAGCCGAAGCTATTGCGTGGCCCTACCACAGTTAGGTGCGTTTAATAAATAATATGACTGGAGGCTCATATCTTTACCGGTGCACGTCGGATGCCCACGGGTCGTTTTCTTTCTTCGCATGAAATCGACTGATCGTTTACCGTCCTTTTAAAGAGAGACAAATGTGGCCTTAATTCCGTAATGGATTGTTGCTGAAAATTATTACGCATTAGGGTCGTTATGACGAGCGAATCTTTCGTAATTAAAATAATACAAACGCAACGGTGACACCCCTCCGTCGCCATTACGGCCATAGCAACCGTACGATATGCGTCCGCCGCAGCTCTCCCTCCGCTGGCCGCTGCAAATTCGCTCGCTTCATTTGGCCTCAATTAATCACCGACATCGCTGCCGGCTCTTCATAACTAAGTTCCAGTTTAATCAACACGCTAATTTTGATCAAGTTCAAAGCGATGTCGTGCGTAAAATTATATGTATATTTAAGCAAAATTATAGATGCCCGTTTTATTTCTTTGACACAAGGCCCTTGTATAAAAATGTATTTTGATATCTTCATTTAAAGTAAAGCTGAAGTTTTACAAAAGCAACGATTTTGATGTGTTCGGTGATATGTGTCGCACACGAGTATCAGGTTCCGATGTTTTTACTCTGCACATAAAATACATTGTCAATTCAATCATCAACGCAGATGAAGTCATCGGTGTCAACTAATAATTGACCAAATAAATGCAAAGAGATTAACATGTATGTTGTAGCTTTATAGATGCGAATGTAGCGAATATATAATAAGCGAAATGAAGAGAAAAGGATAAAAAGCTCTAACATTGTTCATATGTTTGAGGCGCCATCGGAGCTTATTCAGTGTTTATCTAAATTTTTTATTTAGTTGTTGCTGTTGACGATTTTGCTCTGACGCTTAACACATGAACACCGATATTCCATAAGGCTACCCTGTTTATTCTGCACAAGTCGTTGCATATTTGCAACATCGCTATGCGGAAGACACTATGAGTGATGACCCTTTGCTCATTTGTCTCCTTTTTTCATTAAAAAACTATGCCTCATGTTCTTTGTACCTCATTGAAACTTAGCTCAGTAGTTTGTTCTAACGTCAACGTTGTAAATAGAATGAAAATCAAAACCACCGATAGATCGAAGCGAACATGAGGCCGCTATTAAAAATGGCGGCGGATGTCCGACAATGGAAACTGCACATAACCGGTTGCGACGCGAGCATCAGCTGATAAGGGCGCTCGGGGCGACAGAACAAAAGCGACTCTAGCGCGTACCAATTAAATTTACATTGGAGTGAATTAATTGCCGCGGAGATTTGCGATAACACTTGATGGATGCGGTTGTTTTCGGTAGATAGGGGAATCGTCGCACACGCGAGCGGTGCATGACTTACCATTTCATCGGCACAGGTGGAGAACGGATGGCGCTTGTCTTTCTTTTAGTAGAGAACTGTTCTGATCTGACTGTTCACCTGATGTTTAGTGATAATCGCCGCCCATTGATGCCAGTTGTAGATGGGACCTCAATCACCAGACAAAACGCAGAAGTATAATACTTCCACCTCACGTTGGTCTTCTGTGAGGTCGTCGTACTTACCCGGACGGACCTGCCCATTCGTGCAATAGTTAAGACAACAGTTAAATATTTTTTTCTATACAAATCTCCTGTCGATTCTTTTTATAGTGTCTCTACTCTATGTATATCAATGTTCCTTTAATGCTTACTAGTTTTTGTCCCAATTTAGAAATCGTAGTTATTATAGACATTGTTGTATATCATTACAAATCACTTTAAACACGTTGCTAGGATCGACAAAGGAATATCCCCCGCCCACCGAGGGCCTTCCAAATCGATTCTATAAACAAACCACGTGAAATTGCTAAACTAAAGATTGTATTGACGGAAGTTTTTCTTTCTCGGCTGTTTTGGGGAAAACTCGCCTCGGGAACATACTAACAGTTTGAGAATTGTCGCAAGTCATGGACTTGGCAACATGCATTGTTTTAGTTATCTAACATCAGGAGAGACTTGTATCTTGTTATCGTATTGCAAATTCAGGAAATAATTGCCAATCTTGTTATTATATAATACACTCTCTTTGAAGTTTTTAAAACCATTTGGCTATTCGATAAAATTGATAAAATTGATAGTCAATATGGAAAAACTATGATAACCATGTCGTTTTAAAGCAAAGATTATTAAATTGCCAGCTTGTGTTATTTTTTATTTAAAGTGGTTCTCAAAACAGCTGCGAAATGCCCTCAGAATCAACTAGAGCGCCAGAAATTGCAGGGATACTTAATGATAACAAATAAAATCTCAATATCAACATTGATAAATTTGATGGTATAAACTGAAAAAACATGGAAAAAGTATTATAAACCAGTTATGAACTTGGTTAAAAAGTATTAGAAAAAATGAAACTGATTTTATCTAGTACATGGGTAGTTGGAGGTAATATTATGTGAATTGATGTGTTGCGTGGAATTGAATACACAGAGCGTAGCGTAGATCAATGAATTGCCACCAAACTAAACCCAGATATATTAAATTCATTTATTAATTGTTATGTTGGAACATCCTATATCATTGTTCTGCTCTTGCCCCTCGAACTCCTATTCCTCTCTGCTAACTTCTTGTAAGGGCATCAGCATCTAGGTAAGTATATTGCCGATTAAACTCAGCACGGACACACAAAGACGTTAACAAGTAGCGACGCGAGATAGGCCGTGGACAGAAAATAAAAATACAATTTCTATTTCCGTGCAGCACCAAAAAAATAAATGGCGCTGCGTAACCCGTCGGCCATATTTTTTCCCCGTCCTCGGGCCCATAAATAGCTGTCCTTTTCCATTCGCACGCGTTTGAACGAGACGGGCGACTGTCAAACTGCCCCATGCCATATTTCTTCCATTGTGTTGCGTGGTTGGTTTTATTGTAGCATATTTAACTTTTATAATGCATAATAACAGATTTAGTTAATTGCACCGTAACGATTTGTATCGCTCTGGCTCTCTTTCGCCTTTTTTCTCAATTCCGTCTCGACATAATTACTTCGAGGATCGAGAAGAAGCGTCTACACGACTTCAATTCTACTGCTAATAGAGATAAGCTACGTTTTATTTTTCTCGTTCCCTTAAAGCACGATATTCGTTTCCTTGCTACACCTTAGCTGAGGCCATCAATCTTTGGGGCTCCATTACGCAATAATGAAAGAAAAGGATATTATTGATTTATGTTTTTAATTCGAAATAAGGAAGCAGAGCTTAGATACAAACCGGTAACGCGTGCACACATTGACATGTTTGATATCAGAAAATACAACTTAAATTTTTTGTATCCCCTGTATATGTTATCCTTACTGGAATAAGCGGTAGCAAGAAATATCAGAGGCATGATTATGAAAAGGAATTAATAAAAACTAATATAAATTATTATAAAACGCTACACCAACACGACTAAATGACAAAAAGGGCCACAAAGCATCTTAATTATCTGCATGTTCTCGTTCCGAACGCCTATTAAGATGCCGAAAAGTTTTTTTTGTTGACCGCGTTATGAATTCGATAATTATTCCTCGCACGGCCTTGTAGTTCGGACGCAATTTTATGAATTTTTAACGAATGTTAAGAATGATTAAGCAATTTTTACACATTAACATTCAATTTTTTTTCGGTACGTATTAAACGCCAATACATTTGGTATATAAAAACCGGTTTTGAGTTAACGAATGGAATTAAAAGTATCAATCAAGCAGCTTTAGGCGATTGACTTGTGATTAATTAAATATCTCGCGTGCAACGAATTACTTAGTGATGCAAATGAATGAATATAAATAATCAAAATCTCTCAATTCTTTCTCTTGAGGTGAATATACATTAATT